CATTAATGCTTTTCTGAAATAAACAATTATTTAAAATTAAATCAGCTTTAAGTCAATAGTGATTAAAGGTCATTTGAATCGAAAAGTTTAGTGCCTCATATATATTAATGTAAAAGCTATAAAAATCACCATTACACCTTGGTTTTTTTCCCTGGACATCAATTTAGACTCTTGTAATGCTGATTGTGTAGAAATTCTTCCTCAAATGGCTTTGTGATGATAAAGAAAGTGATTTTAAAATTCTTTATCTTCCTAGTAGGAAGTGATATTATTAAAATTATCTTAAAAGAGATGCTTGATTACCTCAAATTATAGCTTCTCATTACTTCAAAAATTTTAAGTTGTTGACAAACTGAAGAATGTATCAAACTCTTGCTATTTCAAAACAGTGAAATTGGAGAAGCTGTAATATATTCTGATAAATCTGTAGTCTGAAATTGAAAATGGGACTTAGTGGGGCTTGTTTCAGGCAGAAGAATCTTCAATAAGATTTGTTCTTGATATCAGAGTTTCAGAATACATCACGTTTAGGTCAACAAAAGTGCACTTGTCATCTCACTCCCGATGAACACTCTTTATTTCAATTAACTGTGGTTTTACAAGTTATTTTACAAAGCGTACTCTGTTCCTTAGCCTCCTCGGGGGAATAATCACAAAGAAAAACAGCTTGATATTTTTATAAACACATCAGTGAAATTGAGTATCAAGTGATTTCTATCTTTTCCTTCTCCTTCAACTGCCTCCTTGAAACCACTTTCTTTTTTACATAACTTTCAGCTATGAGACCGACTCCAATAATCTGCCTTAATTTCCTACATGTGTATCGCTGTCCTTTGGGTGATATTCATATCTAAATGTGGAAAACCTCCTGAAAGCAAAGACCCTGTGGATAATTTCCACATAAAGTTTAAAACACAAATTGAAGAAAATGCATATGTATTCTTAGCAATTTAAATCGTAACTTATAATGCAATATGGATTTGAAGAACTACCTGGAGATTTTGTATTCCATGAACAAGTATCCTTTTTATCATCTGTTTCATTATCTTTGAAAAGGATTATCGCCATTACTCTCAGAGCAATAGTATAAAATTCAAAAGATAAGAGTCTCTTTCTATGAATAAAGACAAGAGTTGGAGCTGAGGTAAGAAAGCGCCTCCCAGTGATGGGAGCCCATCTGGAGCCTTACATTTTACAGCACTACATACGCTCACAGCCTTCCCTACTCCTGCTGTATTCCTCTATCAGGCGGCGCTTTCAGCGATGCCACGTTGAGAAGCCATACAGTAAGTCATGCTCTTTCCCAAGGATTAAGGCAAATAAACAGTCAACAAGATAATTGGTAATGAGAAAAGCGATCCAAAGATTCAATTAAGACACACAAATACCAGATACGAAACAAAATTACACTCCAAAGGAAGAAAAAGGCAAAGGCTATACAGAATGGCAACAGGTACACAAATGCAGGTAACGTGGACCCCCAAAGAAAATGGGGAGAGACTAAATGGTCTAGGATCATTATAGAGAAGTCAGAGTCAAAATCAGGCGTGAGGAAAAATGCAGGAAGACCACACAATTGCTCTTCTCTGTTGGTGTAAGACTCAATTAAAGGAAAGTGCAGAATCTATTGCAAATCAAAACCACCCTCAAACAAGCTTCTTTTTGGACCTTTCTAATGACAGTGGGTATTTAGCCCCAATCCACACTGGTAAAACAAGATACATTAAAAACAAAGGGAAGACCAGTGCTGAAAATGTTTGACATCGCAGTTTCTCATGGTAAGTGCTATGTGTTTCAACCCTAAGTACTTTAAAAAGAATGTTGCCTATCATATTTTAAATTTTCTAATTCTAATTTCAATTAGTTTACATTGCTGTTTAATTCACAATTAGAGGAATTATTTGCCCAGGTGACATAAACTTATGGAAATCTGCAGGAATCTGCAAAAATTTACAGAACGGAATAACTAAAGTATGAGTGTGTGGCACAGACATAACACAAAAAAACACAGGAATTCACAGTGCAGCCAAAAGTACAATTAGAATTCCTACAGTGAAAAACAGAACCAGAACCACAGCTTGAAAAGTAAATGATTTCAGAAGGTCTCACAACAACATTCACCATATTCATGTGTTTGTGGAAAGGAATATATATTCTTAGATTTAGATCCTGCCTGGAGCTATATTGAGAGTCCAGACGGAAAGAAAAGCCAAGAGGGCTCTACCATCCCAACGCACTGAGAGCTGTGGGAGCGCAGTGCTGCATCCCGTTACGGGTGTCCTGTGGAGGGACAGGCTGGAAGGCACGCCTGGATCCCCAGCGCGCCGCCGGAGACGCTGCAGTCAGCAGGATCTCGCACCCCGGGACATGTGCGGCGCCTTTTCCAAACAGCACCAAAGCCAGCTCTGCCACATCGCTTCCATCCTACACAGCCAGTCTGATTTTGGCAAACTGAACCGACACCCTTCTGCTCGGCTCGGCTCTGCCCTGTCCATTCCATCGCATCCCAGTTACACTCTGCCTTACCATGCCGGCCAGAGCAACATTTTTCTTCTGGCCGGTACCATCGTGTGATATCAGCTACGACTCTTCTGGAATATTACACCAGGGGAGTGCACAGAGGGAGCTGTAAAAGGGGACTGGGAGCAGCAGGGACATATCCAGCGTTTGCTCTGCGGTGGTGACATTACGTAATGCTGTGACAGTCTGAAGTAGACACCGCTCAGCTCCACACGGCTGATGTGCTGTCAATAGCTGGACGTTCCACAACACAAAGCACGTCAAAAAACCAGTGGAAAATCAGTGGTGTAATTCTATATAGGGGATGCATTTGCATGGAGTAAGAAGACAGGGCAACCTAGAAAACCGATTAAATATTGCAGTTTGATGTCAGAAAAGTTTGTGGCTAAATTCCTTTTGAGCCCAACACGATAAGGATTCAGTCCTTAATTAAAAGGCAGGAATAATACACAATGAAGATTAAGAACATGTTTCCTTATTTTTCCTTGACAGCAGCATTAGCCCAGGCTACTTTATGCTTTGTTTGAATGGAGAAGCAAAATGTAATTAAAGTTTTAATTAAAATTGAGCGCAGTCCACAAACCTGAAATAGATAGTGCTGTTCTAACACTGTACTGGAAGACCTTTCAAGTAAACTGATGTTCTTAAATTACTGGAGTTCTTTTTTAAAAAAAAAAAAAAAGAGAAAAGGTGTTCTGTCAAATAAAAGGGTAGTAGTGAAAACTAATGAGCCTGGAAATGTGTCATAGAAACAAACTACTAGTAAGCATGTATTCTGAAAGGGCCAGTGAATATACAAAGACTGAGCTTGCTCACACACTCATTTTTCTCTGACTGTGAGGATTCTGTTCTTTATCATACTCCAGTTAGTAAATATGTGCATCTTTTTCTTTCTCATAAAGAGGTGATGGTACCTCTGAAAGCTGAACTTTCTAATAAATAAACACACGCTACAAGATACTGCTAAAAATATTTCGCTAGCAGAAATATTGGGAGAAGTACCTGTATCTCTTAAACACATCTGTTACATTAACACATTCTGTAGGAGAAGATGGAGTTTATTCATACATTTGGCCTTTTCTTAATCGGCCAAGGCTCTGGCATGCAAGTAATCACATCTCAATTTTAATTATCCTGTTATCTGCACGGTTTCTTTGTCAGCCAAAAAGCCTGGCGGTGTAGGTAACCGCTGCCCCCCGCCCCCGGCCTTGCTGCACTCTTTCGGGAGATGCGGGATTTGGGAACGCGGTTCCCCCCTCCAGGGCGGGTGCGGGAGCTCCGGCTGCCCCGAGGGCTCCGCACGGCAGGGCTCGGGCTCCCCCTTCCTGCCCCGGGAATGCGGAGAGAGCCCCGAAAAGCTCTCTCTCTTTCGGGTGTCCCACCTCCGAAAAGCCCCTGAAGGGGCTCCTCAGGGGCGGGGGGTCTGCAGTTGTGTAAGATCAGGTTCTCCCCCGCCTCCCCGCATTCCCCCGCAATCTCCGACCATATCTCCTCACGTCGGGGGCCGGAGCAGCCAAGCCAAGGAAGGGGAGTGCCTGGAGGGGGGGGGACACCCCAGCGAAGGAATGAGGTTGGGGACAGGTTGCAGGAAGTGGGGGACGACATCTTGCAGGTGCCTTCATGCAGGGAGGGGACCGCCCGGCTAGGGGGTGGGGATGGCGTTCCCCGGTGCGGAGAGCGGGGGACTCCGAGGGGGCTGGGGACACCCCCGGGAGGAGGGGGAAGCCTTTTAGCGGCGGCATCGGCAGCCCCGCAAAGG